ATATTTGTTCGGCTCGACAAATAAAAATACACCACGTCGATATACCACGCGCAAAACAGGTACACGCAACACATGTGAAATTAATTCGATCGAGCTTAATATCAGTTGCCATCCAACGTTATTATAATATGTATTGCATTATATAAATTATGTATAAATGGTTAACAGATTTGTATCTTATTATACGATTTCATTATAATAGATATTTAAGAATTAAATAAAAATATTATCATTTTACAAAACATGTAAAAATATGAAATTACAAACGTAATTTAATATTATAGTTTTCTATTTTTGTATTCATTGTTTGTCAGTCAGACATTTGTAAAATCTTTTTAAAAACAAACCATAGGAGAGTGGTTTATAGCTCTTCTGGTGATACCAATGATGATTTATTTAGGTACAAATATTATAAAAATAATAGGATTAACTAAAAACGATGGTGTACTCACGGGTTCGTCTTGCAATCCAGAATCAAATATATCATATATTTTCACATATTTTGTAATACTTGGTTTACTGACATTTGAGTAGTAGATTTTAATAATAATTTTAGAAACAAGTTCTGTAGGGTGCATACTTACTATGTGGTTTATGCAATATCACTAGAAATAGGATGTAGTTAGCAGTTATACTGATTTTGTATTCTGTGATTACTGTGGAGATGCAGTCAACAGCATGTCAGGCTATACAGAACTACCAAATTTCCATACTTCATTTCGAACCTTAAACATTTTGTTCTAAAGTTCAAAATCAATTGAAGGAATTTGACATATAGTGGTAGTCTCACATGCAGCACGGTATTTGCTCTGATTAAGGTTGCCATCTGCCTATGTTTGTCTTTTAGGTCAAGTCTGGTCTGGCCAGTATGACTTTTGCTTAAATACCAATTGATGATAAAATTAAGTCTGATTAATGATTATTTTTATTAAACTGGTAAATTGGGTGTGCGTTCCAGAGAACTATAACTTGTTCAAGATTTTTATAGTTATAAAATTAAAAAAGTATGTTTAATTTCATAAAAATTATGTTTGGCTATAAAAAAGTAGACTGGCTTTTAGAACAAAATGTCCAGCCTAATATAGTGAAGTCAGAATTTTTTAATTTAGAAATAATTAAGTTACCACAACACCTGATGATAGTAAATTTGAATTTCTATATTGACCTGACCGGCTTGAAAAAAGGCGTATGAGTCACTGGCTGAGCAGGACATTAAGGTATAGTATCACACTGCCGCAAACAAATGGTTTTTGTTGATCTCTTGTATTCATTTTCCTACAAGCTGTGTGTTCTTTTGAGCAAAATTAAGTTTATTATAAATAACAAACTTCAGTTTTCTGTATTGGAGTATTGAGGTCACATTGAGCAACATAACATAAAATCTTCTATTTCATAAAACATAATAATAAAGTAATTTTGTATTGCATCTATACAAATTTAAATTTTTACTCAAGAACATGATTAAATCAATTTCAAATTTCAATATCCTGCATTTCAATAATTACAATATTACCTCATTATTGTATTATTAACATAAGTAAGGTTTATCGCAATAATTAAGCATACAGTTGTATAATATGTCCTTGTTTCTGTATGTGTGATTTAATTATACACTTAATGCAAATTAATGAATATTATTCTTACCACTGAATTATCACTAAATACAATTAGGTAAACTTACCTCTTTAACAGTTTCCAATTTATGTTTCAAATCAGGATCTGCATTAGGACCCAGCGCTACTGCTACATACTTGTCAGAGGTGCTTGCTTTAGAGTCAGAGGGTGAAGCATTCTTATCTATAGCATTATTTACTAACGCAGGCTCCTCTAAGGCATCCACAGGCGCTTTACTAGGCCCTTTAGATGACGATACTGACGGTGCAGCATCAAATTGAGGTCTTTCCAATACTTTCATACCCATATCCTCCTCTATTTTCGCTCGTAAGCGATTCCTATCTTCGACAATATGAGGGTCATCTCCTTCTTCCCCATGACGTACGATTCCAACCACAGGGAAATCTTCTACATCGTTTTGTGCCAACGGAGGTGGCATAAGGAGCTCAGGGCCCGCTTTTTGAATACGTTTGTACACATTGTAAACACTATCGTTAACACTAGTGGAACTTTTGAACTCTGGTAAGTAAAATAGTGCTCCTAACCACACGATTCCGAATGTCAAAAGAACTGAAATAATCAAATATTTTTCTCGTAGGCGGAACGAACGCCGCGATATGGACGGTACTGGGACTCCATTCACAAAACGCTGGTACGTGGGCAATATCCCCGTCATGTTTATGTAAACAGTCCTTACACTAAAAATCGCTAGTCTATAAATAATGACAAAATTTTAGACAAGCAACCCGTCACTAGTAGTAGCCATTAAAGAACTGCCAACTTGAAGCAAGGTCTTTTCGGGATACCACTATAAAAAAGTAAATCCTACCAAATTTTGTTCTGATATTTTAATGTCAGTCGAAATAAAATAGATTGAACAAATTAAAAGGTAGCGCTCATAAATTATTTTTAAGTTAACTGAATAATCATTAAGGGCAATCTAGACCTAAACTAGACACATTTCCGAATTCCTATACCATTTATAAGAACAATTTCAAGAGAAGTTTTATTGTCTGTAAACGTTGAAATTAACTTGTTTCTAAATATCTATACTAATATTGTAAAGGGGAAAGATTTGGTTGTTTGTCTTGAATAATGTTCGAAACTGCTGGACCGTTTTAAAAATATTTTTTTTATAAATAGACAAACGAAGTCATAAGAATACAGCTAGTTCGATATTTAATTTAAAAAGTGTACCTATTATATTTGTTCAATTTTGTATTCATATGCTATACTGAAAAATATTTTTAATTAAAAATGCTGAAAAATCTACTTCATCCCTGGCACTCTAAAATGAGGCTTGAACCCATATCCTTTCAGGGACAAAGTGGTTTTTTTTTACATTTTTATTAAAGACACAGCAGTAATAGATAAATTTAGTCAGCATAAGCCAAAATGTAATACTCAGAGAGCACTGACTCCTAACATACAAGGCAACCTAATTTGGGAGACAGGGTAAATTGATTTGTTACGCTATTTAGTTGTTAAATAAAGAATTATTATTATTATCTATGCTCTAGTTTATTATTAAAACTAAATTACACTGTCGTTTTATTATTCCTAATTATGTAATATAAAATTAAAAAGTTATTAGTCTTTTCACTGAATGAAAAAATGCTGTGAGATAGGTGCAGATATTCTTTGCTAATTACCTTACTAGTAGTATAATTTTGAAATAGATATAGTAACACTGTTATACAACTACTATTGCCATCTATGGGTAATAGTGTTAATTACAATTTAAAATTTTGTTTGATGTTTGTTAAGTTATTGTTTAGTATATCTAACAGATGGCATATAAATGTGTTTCCTTTAAATCGAAGGGCTTTTGAATAAATGAAATAACTTTTACACATTAATTATTCGTCTTTAATTATTAAAATTCAGTGCTTATTTATAAATTTATTTCATTATATATTCTGTACTACAGCTATGGGCAATATTATTTCAAAGCAACTTAAAACAGTTGATAATTTAATAAGTACAGATGATGGCGTATTGCCTAATATAAAAAAATACATTTTTTTTTAAGAAAAATTACTCAATCACACAAGGTGTATGTGTTTTATATATATTACATAATTATTTAAGGATAATATCACTAAGATTCTAAGATGAGTACCACAACACTAAGACGCGCGACAATATAGATAATATTGACCCAACTGGTAATCGAACCCGGAACCTCAGAGATAGTCAAAAAGCGTAACATTTATTTGAAATCAGGACGTAGCTTTGCCTATAACATTTTCATTGTGGTTTATTATGTTTTTCTCTCTCATATTTACGATTAAACTTTAAATTAAACAAAGATATGCGAACGAGAAATTGAATGGAAAAGCATAATATTGATACAGTATTGCCAGCTGTTGAAAATTTTGCCCCTAATAATGTACCAATGAATGAATCTACAAATAATGCAAAATAACTATAAAGTCAATTAGTAAAATAATGTACGGTTTTATATATTCTATTACAAATGAGCAAGTCAAAGAGAAAAAAAAATACAGTATTAAAAAAACACATTAGTTCTCGAAACCAAACTAGATGTCGCTACGATACGTTCTTCATTTCTCCATGACAACCCTTCCGGTTTTCTTTCATGTTCGTTTCCTGCAAAAATCAACTTTTGTTAGAGTCGCCATCTAGTGCAGGTGTTTTTTAGTGGTTTCTTTTTTTTTATTACTCCCTCATTGGCATATTATTTTGCATTTATGGATATTCGTTTGTAAACATCTTTTGGTAAGCACTTATTTGAATATAGCGAAAAAACAGGCAGTAAGTCTAAAATGTCCCGTCGAATTAAAAATCTTATCAGCCTTTTAATTATAAAATATATCGTAGTAGAATTTATGATTTTTGTGTGAAATAATTCTACTGGAATATATGTTTTTAAGATCGGTAAGCGTAGACCATTACTTCTATGTACTTATTTTGTTTATAACGATTTCTTATACATATGAAAAGAAAAAAATATATTATTCTTCATAGAATAACAAAATAATATTATTGTTTTAAAAAATACGTTCTACACGTGCCTTGTCTTGTCCCTTCTTCCCGATTTCAAAAATTTATCACTTTTTGCAGAAAATATTGTCAGATGGCGAAGGCTTGAGCAGAAATCGACGGGTGATATCAGAACGTTTCGAATGGGGGTAGTATCCCTAAGAGTAGGAATTATTGGTGATACCAGTACAAAAAACCTGCTCGAAATACTGCCTCAGAGCTGATACAGGAGGGCTCTATTACAATATGTGAACCCATAAATCGCAAAAGAATTGAACCTGTGAAACATAAAACAGTTGTTTTTAAACAAATTATAGAGATTCTTTTCAGTCAAAATCAATTTCATACAACCATGATATATTTGAAACTATAATTTTGGTGTAGGTACCTTAAAGAAACTAAAATCGCTATTTGAATACTAAGTATAAACTTTTAATATACAAAAAAGAAACAATCAGTTACTTGAAGTGTGTTTAATTCTAATTACAATTTAGTCATATCATCTCTCATAACATTAGTCATAATATAAGATCTCTGTGGTAATAGTGGAGGCACTTTACGGATATTTACTGCACTTCAGTGGAAACTTTCTTATTAACTTACATTGAGTTTAGTGAATATTCTAAACGACCTTCTGATAAATAGACGATTAGATTAGGTTTGTCATCACCCTTTCTCTTTTCCACATCACTATCATACAAGTCTTAATTTAGAAATAAAAAACAGTCAATTACTTGAAATGTGTTTAATTCTAATTACATTTTACTCATAACATCATATACTTTATATATCTTAACATACAATTTCATCCACAAGTTACACCATGTTTTGTGTAGCTCATATTATATTCAAATCCTCAATTGAGATCAGTCAGTTTTTATCTAAAACTATATCTGTACATTTTTATATCAGGCTAAACATTAAGAGTACGACATATATTTAGTTATATTAAGTATAACATTTACATTTTTGTTCATTATTTAAAAAATATTATTCATTTTATACATTGTAAGCAATTTAGCTATGAGTGGGGTTTAAATCTCGACATGTAAAAGTCGCAATCTGGGCAATAAAGTGATGGGGGATTTACTTGCTTTTTTCGACATAAGTTACATGGTGTTTTTTGACCAGACAGGGCCATATTTGTTTGATGTTCGGTGGATGTATAAGCATTACTGGCCATTTGTGATGGCACAGGAGACTCCGTCCCTCCCTTCGTGCCAGGCTCAAAAGAAACAGACTTTTTTTGCAACTGCTTTGGCGGTGGTATGTGTTGATATGGATTGTAACCACTCTGATTGTACTGGTACTGCGTTAACGTATCATTGTTGACACTACTCTCCACGTTTTGATTATACATCGTTCTCTGTGGCTGCGAGTTATTGTAGTGGCGAATCTCTGGGACGCGTGTTTGATTTGAGTTGTTGTTGTCCTGGTAGTAATTATTAGGTAATTTTTGATAGTTATTATTTATGGAGTAGTCTTGGGGTTCCCCGTGCGGTTGAGGTACCCTCTGGTATGGTGACGGAGCCGCACCGTAGTGGTTCGTATTTGCCGCCGGGTAACGACTAGAGTACTCTGAGCTAGCGTAGCTTGTCGGTGGGTTGTGATAGCTCTGGTAAGCCGGCGAATTGGTGGGTACACTTTGGTACGGCGATGAGTTATTTGGCAGATTCTGATTGTATTGTCGGTTTGCGTTGTAATTTGCATTAGGAAGCGTAGCGGTGGAACTTGTTGGGTGCTGAGGTAGTCGGTGATAGTAAGCGTTGTTCTGACTTTGATTTATTTGATGAAGTTGGCTCGGTGCATGCGGATATGTATTAGGTACAGGCCGCTGAAGATTGTTGTGTTTGGTCATATAAGCGTGATTGTGTGCTGTCGGAGTTAATCGGTTTGCAGGATTTTGACTGAAATTCGGTGGGCTCGTGCTGTGGTTTTGAAATACTGCTGGCGGTTGAGTGTATGGTATAGGATTCGTAGTATTTGGCAATGGATTATTTGGAAGTGATTGATATATTTGACTATTATTTGAGTTGTTTTGATTTTGGGTCTGTTGTACGGGACCGCTAGTTCCGTAAACACCAGAACTTTTTTGTACGTTATATTGTTGTTGCGGTCGAACTGGAGCACTCTGATACGTGGGGTATGCGCTTTGTAATCGTACGTAATCAGCTTGACTACTTTCATTAGGTACAAAAGAATTTTGGGATAGTGATGATATAGTGGACCGTGAGGATTGACTGTCGAACGATTCTGTTCGTTGCAATGAAGGCTTCTCTGACTGTAGAGGCATTGTAGTCAGTTCCGGTTTACTCATTGCTGATTTCAGTACTCTTTCTAAAATAGGGTTAGGTATATAACTATCATCCTCTTGATCTTCAGCTGTAGAAACTAAAATTACTTGATCACAAAAAGACACTGATTTCTTTTTCTGTTTATTTCTATCGTTAAAAGAGTTATTGTTGTTAATTTTTTGATCACTGTAGTCATCTTCTATTTGTTTGGGATCTATTGAAGATGATGATGCTCTTCTATTATACAAACCAGAGTTAGATTGGTTAGAACAATTAATTACATCTCTATTGCCACTCATACCTACGAATCCAATATGAGTTCTTTCTACATCGGATGAGAGCTGTTGAGCACTATTTTCAAACCTTGAAGCTAGGCTTCTAACACTATTCATATTGTCTACATGGGTAGATAATTGTCCTTCGATAGATCCAGATCTTTTCAATTTAAGAGCAGCTTGTTTAGCTTGCAACTCCTTTAGCCATGTATCTCCTGGTGTATTAATAGCTTCTAATTGATTGAATTTTGAAAGGCATTCTTCATTTCTTAGAATTTGATTTCTCTTTTCTTGTAATTGTGCTAATAAAGATCCTTTTGGAGCATCAATATCATTATTGTTCGTTATATCAACATCTCTATTGTTATTTTGTAAGTAATTCAGCTCTTCCTGGAGCGGAGTTAAATCCAAAGGCGGAGGTGGCGGGGGAAATTCTTCACTGGGCTGTCTCGAGTGGTTAACAGAGTTCATAGGACTGGGATAAGGCGGCAGTTCAAACACCTGAGGAGATCTTCTTAATGGCATTGCACAGTCAACGACGTCTACTCCATTATCGAAAGCATTACTTAAATTTTGAATGTTATTATGAGAAGCTTGAATCGGCGGAATACCGTCTCTTTTCACTGGACTTTGCTCCTGATGAATCATAGCTTTAGTTACAACAGTATGAAAATTTTGTGGAGACGAATCATCTAGTCTATTAAACTGATTCACAGGCTTTCCGTCGTAAGAGGGTAAGAATGGTAGCGATTGAGGTTCTTCACCGTACTGTTCAGAAAAACCACCATCTTCTTCAACATCCTGTGGGTAGGAATACTCATTATGATTAGCGTGAGGCAAAGGCTGTTGTGGACGTGACTGAATATCATGCTCGATCACTTCGGAATCAAACTTAGACCCGCTAAGCTGGGAAGTGGTTCTCTGTGGTAGTGGTGGAGGCACTTTACGGATTTTTACTGCACTTCCGTGGAAACTTTTTCTCATTAACTTACTTCTTTCAAGATTGGGATTAGTACCACTAGCTGCTGAATATTCTAAATGACCTTCTGATAAATAGCCGCTTAGATTAGATTTGTCGTCCCCCTTTCTCCTTCCCACATCACCATCATCAACGGATGAAACTCGTTTTTCAACATTAGCCGTTTCATTATTGGCATCGGCTCCTTCTGTTAAATCAGGCATAGATCGATTTTTTCTACGAATCAAGCCACCCATTAATAGCTTTCTACGGATTTTATGTTGTTTTTTGTTTGCTTTCTTATCTTCAACAACTTCTTCTTTCTTTTCCGCAGTTATTGTCATTTCTTTTCTGGTTCTACCACGGTCTTCACTTCGTGATCGTTTTTCTCTATTTTTTTCTTCGTCTCGAGATTTATGTCTAGGTGGACGTTCACGGGGCACATTGTCTATATCATCTTCTACACACTTAGAGGACTTTTTGGATGACTTCTTTTTCGGTAACGTTGCATAGATCTCTATGGTTGACGGTGTGTTTTCTAGGCCACCTTTAGTATTTCTAACAGGTATCGTCTGCTGAGACTCTGATATACGTGATGCTCCTGCTATACGTCTTTGGAGACTTCTGGCGCGCATTATGCATGTGTTGTGTTTCATTCTAGCGAAAGTCATAGTGTGAGCATTATTTAATGATGCATCCATTGCAGCGCTGGCTTTTGAAGCTGCTGCATCACACAAAATTAAGGCTTTTTCAAAATCTGCAGCATTTTCTGCTTGACGAGATTTATCCAATAGCCTGTCAGCTTCCGCACATAACGCTTTACAAGTATCTACCGTTTTTAACTCAGGTATTTGCATCATTGGCGGATTATGTCTAAGGACTTGTTGGAATGGCAGGCTATCGGTCGATGATAATGAATATGAGTCATATCCCGCATCACAAGACCCACCGCTGGATAGTTCACCCTTCCGTGTTGGACTTCCAGGTACACTTCCTGGTCCTCGACCTTTAGTGTACATATAGGGGCTTTCAAAAGTAGACGACGACGCTGATGACGCACTATTGCGGTCACCACTCCAGTTGCCAGAGTCTCGTCGTACTCGTGGTCGATCCTGCGTATCTGAAGCAGAACCTGTACTGAGACTACGTCCTAATTGGGCTCGCCGATTAGCTTCCCACATATTTTCAACTGTTTTTCTACTAACATAATCACTCTCATTATCAGGCCCCGGAGTGACAGCACGCCGTGCAAAGCCGGAATTCGGCCGTTCAGGCGCCGGTGTGATAGCTCGTCGAGGTTCTGGAGCAGGAAACGGTACTATTTCTTTTGGGGCGTAGCGAGTATCGCAAGGAGTTCCATCTATTGCTGCATATAATAGTAGGAGAGGTTGAAATCGTCCTCGGCGACATTTATCAACTACATGTGCCCATTCAGGGCCAATTTCTTTAACATCCGCGTCATCGAAGTATATCCATAAGCGAAGTTTACTATGGAAGAAGAAGGTAGAATAGTGTTTTCCGTAGTAAGTGACGAGGCCCACGAGGCGATGTGTAGCACGTGTAGCCCAACCACGATCGACACATTCATGGAAAGCATCGGTGGGAAGAAGTTCAGTACCAAGAGCAGCGTATACTGCTGCAACGTCTTCTGCTGCGGGACGTTCTGAATCCCATACCATGCCAATAGATATCACTTCAGGACGATTCATTAATGTACGGCAGATTTGAATCTTGGCTCCACATGCATTCTGTAAAATTAAAATAAAATTGTTAATGAATATTTTGAAAATAATATTAAAAAATTTAATAATATTAACAATAAAAAAGTAGTCACATAAGTTTTACTTACCGGGCAATCTCTAATGTCGCCCATTCCACCAGCCTTCTTAAGCAATAGTCCGAAGCTGTCTCCATGTTCCCCTAATGCAGCTTGCGTTGTTAGAGCTGTTGCTGAGACGTAGTGCACCATCTTTAAAAAAATATATATATAATTTTAATATAAAGACAAATCGTTTTAGGTAATAATGAGAAAAGACCTAGAAATGTCTTACGGTATTCAAACAACGCCTGTAAACTATAACAGATGATAATGAGCCTTCTAAAATCCTCATTTAATTATTTTTTATACAAATATAACGACGAAGTAAACTAAACTAACCTGAGTATATGGAAGTGGTTCGGATGTCGCTTGACAAGCACCACAGACCGACTGTTCGACCAGCATCATTGCAAACTTTCTGTGCGGCACACAGTGCGGTGCTCTGCATGCGTCATCGTCTCTCCTATCTGCACCTGCGGCCACGTGCGCGTGGACCCTTAGTAGGAGGTGCTCGAAGCATTCACTCGCGTCTGCCATGCAACCGAGTTGAAACCTAGCGCCCACTCCGCCCAACGCACGCCGTAAGCTGTCCGCTGCCGGTGCCCGCTCTGCCGACCATTGCAGCTGCGTGAATAGTTCCTGGGGACAAAACAATGTATGAATTAGATTTTATATAATAACATCTCTTCAGTTAAATATTGTATATGCCGCAGTCAACTATTTAAAATAGCTGATTATTGGTTGGATAGTCCTTTAATTAGAAGGTGCCATGTATTCTTTTGAGTAACTAAAGGCAACGTTTTACAGTACGACTGGACGAAATTCAGCCAACTAGTGCATATGTTAACAACTATACAAACGTCGTCGACTGATTTCTGCGGTGGTATATACAAAAAATTTCTTCTAAATAAACTATAAAATATTGTGCAAAAACTTTTAGTATGAGATTTAAACAAAAGTCCTTTAATGTATAAATATAAGGCATAAATCGATTTTACTGTATTAAATGTATTTTAAAATAATTTCTTTATCATAGCATAATAATAAGTGTGTCATAATACTAAAACACACAAACAGATTTCGCCAAAAGTTTTTATGAGTGGAAAAGTCGCAGAGGTTAAATAACAGACTGTCTTAAAGAAAGTTTTGAACAACGCTGCGTTGTACTATTAATTTTATTCAGAAGATCGTAAGCTCGAATATCATTCGTTCACGGTGATTCTGAGCAGATATAGTATGGCACGAATAGGTCAGAAGTGCGCCATGACCTGTTGATCGATTCTCTGTTCTCTGACTACGTAATGTTGTTTTTTTTTGTGGCTTTCATAATAGCTTCTACTATATGGTCACTAGTGTTGATATCTTACTATTTAATTATGTTTGAATTTAAACTTTGATATTGCATGTCTTTTGAATTACTTTTTAGATAAGAATAATTATGTAGTCATTTCGTAGACATTTATGTATGTTTTGGATCGATTTACTTATGATAGAACAATGCATCATGGAAATAAGAAAACTGTAAGTGATATTAAAACCTTCTACTTCTAGATTAAGCTAATACTTTATATTACCTCTTTAGATAATTTAATCTCTACCTCTATATTGTTAATATTGTAATGTAAACCGACTTCATATATTTATTATTAGCTTTCCGCCAACGGCTTCGCCCGCGTGGTGTTGTATTATACATAAAAACGTGTAGTTTTAAAGATTTAAGCATACATAGGGTATAGGGACAGAGAAAGGTTCTATGTTTTATACTATGTAGTGAAGTATTGAGCTGGTTTGCGTTTTATGAATGTCGTTACTTCTTTTAGAGCTGGCGAGTTTTTGCTTGTTCTTATCATCAGCCAAATACGTCCTGAACCGTAGGGAAAATATGTTTGGACGATTGAAAAGTACATAAAATGAGTTTATTTGAATAAACATATTTTGACTTTGATTTTATTTAGTAAAAACTTGGCCAGCGTTGGCTTAGTTACACTGGTCGATGACGTTCGCGTGGGGATTGTGGGCGATCTCTGAGGCCGCAGAGGTCGCCCACGTTTCGCATATTGAACTGACCCCGTCGACGAGTGTAACTGAACTATAATAATCCTTTTGGAATGGGAGAGCCGTATAAATTAACTGACTATTCAAACTTATTTGTTTCAGTTGTAGTCCGGTACTCCTAATAATCTGTCTATATATCTATCTATACTACTGCTACAATTGAAACTTCATACATATTTAACTTTTTGGCACCTTAGATTTCAATTGCGCGTACCTTATTGGGTGGTAATGTATATACTGCTTTAGTTACAAATTGATAATTTTAGTTTCTTACAAAATAATTTTACAATATGTATATAGAAAATATATACTAGAAGTAATCCTATATTTAAAAGATTACTCTTGCCTTCATCACAAAGACTTGACAAAAACGCCTTCGTCTGCACGTCTGCGCTTTAATTAAATCTCGCTAATTGATGTTCCATTATCACGAGAAATTTCCTCTCACAATTTCTAGCAAGAATAGTTTTTTTTTTTTATTTATAACTCAATATGAGAATATTGGTAGATACCAATAAAAAACATTAAACAATTCAAGATGATGATATTTCGTAAATTGCTTTTTAATTGTCACTTAATTGGTTATTAACGATAAATACTTATTCAATATAATAATACTTATTATTTAACATAAATTTAAAGTTAAAATTGTTATTTATACAAACTATCAAAGATTCATAGAGCAACAACGTGCGTGCAATATAAGGTCCAAAATGTAGTGTGTTTTGAAAGTTATGGCTCCCTTTCTTAGAAAATACTATTGCAATATCAAACAGAGAAGTGTTTGTGGCACATGCACGTGAGAATCTGATGCCTACCATTGTTTGCGTGCGAGTGAATAATACGTTCAAAGCCCCGGGGCGCCATGATCACGCTTCTTGCCATTTTATGTTTACCTGGTACTTGCTACTCAGTTTTCACCGAAGTTTTCATTATTTTCAGCAATTTCTTGAAACGTAAACGGATTTTCTACTTAACCACACAAATGCTAAAATGTACTTTTTTTATTATTTAAAAATAAGCGGTTAAAAAAACATAGCAAATGACATTAGAAGTGATTTAATGATATCTAACATGCTAATGCAATTTGGAAGTTACAAGGGGTTAGCTAATTTACTTGTCCTGTCGTGCGTTCAAAGGAAATGCGTTCATCCTGTTTCGCATAAAACCTATCACGATAAGCCAATTATATGAATGTTACAAGAACTTATGTCTACACCAGTAATGATCACGATCTTCAGAGTTGACCATCACGAAAGGGAAATAGTTATACTCTGTCTGTTTTACATGCGTAGGTTGAACTTGAGAAAATACTTGGGTTGCTTTTTAATCACGATAAAGGGTTTGAAATAGGGGATAAAAGTTTGTATGGAGGTTTATATTTGTTTACTGAGCAATTTACAAGATTTTAAACAAACGTCCATTAAGGTTTTATGACGCCTTAAATCTCTAATTAATGTCAAATTTGTATCGATAATGTTCTTTAAACTAATGACAATTTTAATTGACGTTTGTGCAACTGGCTGATAAAATATATTTTTATTATTTCTGTATATTTTTATTATGGACAGTAATATTTTAAATTTTGTATCAATGCTACTGAATATTTATGTAATACACAAAATACGCACCTATAGATAAATTATAATATTTGACTGGTACCACACGTAGGTATGTAACCACTGTGTATTATGTATGTATACATTTAATAGATATGTACAATGCCTACTCGTACTTCAAAGGTTATTATTATAATTGCTATTTATAAGAAGTTTTTATTGCTAATCCGCCACATATAGTTATGTAGAAACATATTGGATTCAAGCAGCGTGCTACTCCGGAGGACAGTGTTAACGCTTGCATACGTAAGTAACTAGTTAATTTAAATATTCTAGACAATTGCCTTTAGGAGGTTCGACACAATAGCTTGAGGGGCCAGACGAGCTTCGCATCACAAAACGTTATAATGGCTTCTAACTGTAACGAAGCTATCGAAAATGTTTTAAAATGTTAGTGTAGCTTATCTGAAAATTAGTGCCATATGAAATTAAATGAAAATTAATACATGATCAACCTATTAAAACCCTCAACTGCTTCTCTATGGATAGACACAGGCCTTCTCTATGGATAGAATCATAAACGTGGATGAATTAAATTATGACAAAACTCTTATACGTTCAGCGCATTTAAGAAGGGCTTCATATAACCTAAACATAACCACATTCGGCTAAGTTTAAGCTCATTCCAAGTCTCAGTATGTTTCTCCAATGATAAATAGTATGTTGTTTTCTCCCCCGTAATCGTACGTGTAGATTATAGCTTATATTACCGACGTATGATGTAGCTCCACGTAGGAGAAAGAATTTTAAAAATCGGCCAAATGGTTTCGATGCCAATGCCATGCAAACAATCAAATCTTTCCTCTTTATAATATTAAGAAAGTTGTAATATCTGTTATAGTATTAAATTCAATGTAATTACAATAAAATTTATGTTAAATAAATTCTTTACAGGTACCTCGGCTTAAGTACTATGAAATTCTAATATTAATTAACCAAAGCCTGATCGATTTGTAAGTAAAACTAATCGTGTCCGTTTACTCGTGACTCTTGAATTATAGATTACGAATTAATTACAAAGTATTTTATTTGCAAGACAACTAAGGGTGTGGGCGGACAGTTTCAGAATAATTTTAACATATAAGTATATATAAAAAAATGGATCACAAAAAAAATGCTATATAGGAATGCGAATCTTAAATTGAGAGGTTTTTATTGGATCTAGTTATTTATACAAATATGCTGTTAACATTTATTTAAGTTAGTTAAATCACTAAATTACGTATATAGATAAAATTTTCTCCATCGTTACCAATTCAATTACGGGACCTGTCGTTGAGTCAATTGAATTTTTATATATTATTATATGAAATAAGCAAATACGAAATTCAATAATAGATATACCTTTGAGTATTGGACAATGTTAGCCAAAAAATTATATTTTGCCCATTTTCACATTTGCTTATTTTGACTCTACTAAATATTGTTTCGTTGATGTCTTTTATTGCGCAGTTGAACGGAACGTCAGTCTAGCTGTATACTGACCGACATAATGTCGCCTAATAAGCTTAATCGATGATTATAAAGTAAAGCATGTTACATAAAATGAATTTTTAATACGATTGGAAGAGATAAGTTTCATAGAATCTGAAAATACAGTTGATTGGTGTTCTAAATCTGCATAATTGGATTTGATTACACCACTTTGCTTCACAAACTAGCTTACATGAGGAAGTATGTCAATAGATAATGATTAACAGAACTTACTCTAAATAACGATAACGTTGCTTGACTAAGGAGTGGCGGCTCAGGCTCCCTCCTTGCTGAAGACGGTGGTCGAGATCTGGGCAAAGTATTATGCCTGACACCAGCGAGGGAGCCATTCAAGAGCATATCCTTCGGAGGCAACAGCTCCCGGTCTTTGAGACCTTCAATTTTCTGTTTCTGAATGGCCGTCCCTTTGCTTCCATCGCTCGGCTCCTTACGTTTATACCGAAACTTTATCATCTCACTGATTAGTCCGCATCGCACGATCCACAACTACCGCTCATTCGGATTCAATCTTCATACCGTAAAACAATGGCTGCGCACTACACATACATATGTATTGACGTATATGGCAATAAGTAAACGAAACACGTGCCCCGGAGAAACTTTCCGTTCCTTCAGTATCACGTCGAACACTTCGCACTACTCTTCTATAATAATAAGGGTATTTCGGTTCACTTTTGGCGCGGAAACGCTTTTGTAATAATAGCGACAGGTATACGACAGGTGGTCGCACTTAAAAAGACTGTTCGAACAACTGCCGTCGATTCGCTCCTCTAATTAGTTATTAAAATAGCTCAACAAATCACTTTTTACGATTATTACTTAACACTAATTGTTATAGTAGATAATTATTTGTTGCGACTTTCGAAAATACGATCGCTTCGTCGAAAGCTATGCAACAGACTGAATAGAGACTGCAGCGGGGGCGGGAAAGCCGGCCGCTCCTACCAGGTACCTAGCGTTTTTTTAATCTATTGTTAACGAAACTCACGTGGGTTTTCTTCCCTCTCTATTTAACCAAGACCACCCTATATCCTATCTCTCTCTAGATGCGGTGCTTTTGTTTATGTTTCTATAGCGATAACTAAAATAACAGTTTCTATTGATAATAAAACTTAGTAATATAATTGGAAAGAATGTTTGCATTGTATACCGTTTAGTGTACATGTGTTATGCAGATGTACGTTTTAGATATAAGCAAAAAGCCGTAACAATAGTCGAAATATAAGATGTTACGTTATGTTGCAGATTAATTGCAATATTCTTTGAACTAAACTTTCCTTACAATTTAAGAATATGGACATACCAATGAAATGAAATGATAAGGGTCACTAAAAATTTATTATCTCAGCATCGTGACTCAGATTCAAGGAATGTTTCGAGATGAACGCATGTGTCAACAAATCAAAAAATAAGGGACCCTTACATCGATCATGTAAAAAACAAAATGAGTTATAAATTCATCTTGTAGCACCTTCGATATTTAAGTTTTATTATGAATGAACTTTCTCAGCGTGACTCAGTTCATAAGTATGTCAAACGTAAATGTGTGGTCAGTTTCCTCTTAGACGAGACGTTTCTGTACACGTCATAACTTAAGTAGTCCAAAGTTTGTTAAGATATTGCCGATAATATATTATTATGACATAAAAAGGGAACCAATAAGTTATTCTCGGAGCTCCAAATATGTATTTATCACAACAAAAGCGGATATCACTAATTGCTGAGGCAATTAGTATCATTACATAGCGTTTAACGTAAAGTGATTCATGTGTAAAAAAATATTAAGACTATACATTTTACAAGGTATTGTAATCTACAAACTCATAGATTTACTATAAATAGTTGCATCGATCAGTTATAAGGAAAACTGAATAATGTAAAGACGAAACAGGAATTTTGTACCATACATTATTGCACATTTAAAACATAGACTAAGTATAGTACTATTCCCTGATAACATAAATAAAGTACTGTTTCTTTATTAAAATTATTGCGCTATCTTTTATGTTCCTTACATTTCATTTGGTTCGGATTAATTAACAATAAAATATTTTATGTATCGTTTCAGGTCGACAACCTTCGTTTCATATCTCTCTAATCTTTGTTTGATTGCAAATTAAGATGATTTGACCCTTAAATACTACGACTCGACTACGACTACTATTCTTGTTTAAATTCTTTTTAATATGTATGTATTATTTTAAGTATACTTATACAACGCAATTACATGTTATATCGAACTTACATAAACATGTGTCGTTTGTTAACAGCGTTCTTGAATTTAATGTTTAATTTTAATTCAATTGTTAATAGCGCGCTAAACTAAATTACTAAACTAAACTAAATAGGCTCAGATACAGAACATCAAATTAAAACAGACTATACGAAAACGCAATGACATTTGCCTCCGATATACCTATAGTAAGTGGAGGTAGTGTTTTTTACAACTCACTTTCTGAGGAATCATGTATAAATCGCATTGTAATATATATAAAGTAAACAATGTCGGTAACACGAGTGATCAATTAAGACAGTAGTGAGTAGTACACGCGAACCGTGAGAGGCTCTCACATGTTCTGATATCGCGATCCAGTTACATCGGTTCGCACTGGTGGCTGTGAGAAACACGTTATTTTTTATTAGGTACACTTCCCGTCTCATTAAATGTTCAAAGTTAAACAAATAAATATGAACGAAAGTTGTTACTGCTCCAATTTACGGTACATCGAAAATGAAACTTTTTAGTGAGGCGAGGAAGTTAGAACTTACTTAGACAACATTAATGAATGAAGATGTACGTTAGGTTCTACTTATTTACTGTTGCAAGGAAAAATATAACAAACACTGGATAATTGAATACATAATTAAAGTCTTTGTTTGCATGTAGACGAAATATTTGATAGATAACTGTGTGTTAAAATGATTTTATGTGAATACAACGACAAAACGCCTAACTGCCAACGTTGGTCGTATTGGATTTTGCACTTATTTATCAACAAATAAATATAAAAGTTAACAAATGTGCGCCTAAATTTTTACTTAGTGTGTCTTTTGATAAATGCTATCTACAACTGTTTCTTATTCTTTCTTAAAATCCTTTCCTCTCTTTTTATGCCCCTTTTTACTTTTCTTAATTTTTAAATAATATTCCATCATAAATTAAAAGTTAATAAGTATTCATATCAAGTAATTATTAATAAATAAATTATAAGCAAGAGGTAGGTGCATTGTTCTGCTCTCAAAGAAAGAAGCCGGTTTGTAATCTAGAAATCAGAACGTCTTAACACATTGACCCAGGCTACAGACAATACAGAAAAGTTCGCTATTTACAGTATTAATTCCGTGATCTCAGAATCGAGTCACAAAATCCTGCGATGAAAAAACATAAATTAATAAGCACAGTTTTATGATTAATGATAAAAAATATGATTAAGCAAATATCCGTTTTATATTGAATGTCGAAATTCCAAAATATATCCTTGAACAATTTTATTTGTATCGCAAATAGTTATGAAATCTACAGTTCAAGATTAATGGGCCAACGCTAATCAACGTGCCGGATTAAATCAATCTATTGTGTTTAATGAGTCGTGTATAATTTAACCTTTTTGCGATCGCGTCTATTGTTTCTTTTAAAATTATAATCTTATGCTTTCCTCATGTTTCGGCAAGAGTTTCGCGAGCATTCTGAGAAGCATTCAAGAGGCGGCGCTGACGTTACATATTATACCTATCCGATATCTTAGTCATGTCTTACGACAGAGGCCTTGCCAGTTTTTTCTTAGAAATATGGCCTTTTATATAATATTCTCACGATTTTGCGGCATAAACTATCATAAAAGTTATTCTTTCTCTGTATGAAAATTTGAGTATTCTAAAAAAACTAATATTTAACAGGGTCGTAGGAAAAATTAAGATATATCTAACATGTCGATCAATACTTCAGATAGCTATCAAGGAAATCGGTTTAGATTTTTCAATACCCAGGATAAATTGTAAGAATATCTTCGTATGGAAATTATCTGCTGGTTTAGTTATATCAAATAACTAATCAGATCACAAGAGATTTGATTTAATGCTTACTTCTCAACTTACTTTTTTTAACCTTTACAGAAAAATATGCATAAATTACTGAAGCTTTATTGTTAACTGTCCTTAAATCGCTATTGAATTCAATAAATTTGAAATATGAGCAATATTAATAAATATTACTTTATCATAAACGCTGAATAAAGTTTGAATGATTTTGAATTTGATAAGTCAAAAACAACATAAAGAAAAATATTTTTTAAATTTCTTAAAAAGCTAGAAATATTTTATCCCTGGAGATATAAATAAAATTCACATATTATTTTAAAAAATAACCAACCAAACACTAATGGCGTGCATAGAATAAAAACTGCATATTGAAAAATCTATTTATTCTTTCTATTTACGTTGTCGTGTCAACTCGAAACAGGTCCGTAGTTATTACAAAAGCAAAGAGTACGAGCGTTGGCCAACCACCAGTGACTAACACTAGGACTATTACGTGAACCAGTAAAAGTTTATAGGTAAGTGGTAGCACAATATAAAACTGTGAAGTCTCTTGTAACTCGCGATTATTTCTACCGATATCGATTCAATTGATTAGTTTTATGCGTCGCCGGCGCGACATTCAATCAGTGATTCGTACGACGAAAGTATCAATGACAAACACTCATTTGATTTAAAAGGTTATTACGTTATTAATAATCGGATTTATGCTAATATTGCCCTATTATATGTTCTGTTTTTTGGACTATTTCAAATTCCTAACTAGAAAATGACGCGTCTTCGCATTTTGCAACACAAAATAATCTGTGTTCAAGCATTTCATTCAGGCTTTAAATTTTAACAAAATTTAATGAACCGGTTAAGCATTAAAACACAAGAGACAAGCAGAGGTAAGTTTTGCAGAATGAAATCTGTTATTCTTAAGAATAATTTAATTATCTTGCTGAACAAAACATGAAAAATAACACATATTTAAACATTTTAATATTCATTACTCTTTCTCATTTCAGAGTACCTCTCCTCTCTTCTGTAGATTAAATTATGTATTAAATGTCTCAAATTTTCCAAGAACAAAAGTGCTATTAAATCGTTATAACCGTAGGTGTAATTCGCAATTATGAACAAGGACAATGCAGTATGACAATATGACAAACATACTGTCAGTGGGACGATTGTTTGGCGAATGTTTATATGCACAAGTGCGTGGCATGTCCCGTGTAGGTGCGACAATACACCATGTGGTATATATAATACCTGTAATTAAACACTATTACAACAACTGTTCGGTACACACCACTACTATGTGACACCATCAACTTTTATCGTAACTAGAAATAGATTGAACACGCCTGCAATTGATACGACAGACTATTATGTTGCAATGCATAGGCATATACTGAAATACGAGCATAAACAGACACCTTCGGTCTTCTTGATATATAAAACAAACTTCACACCTAGACATATTCTAATTTATAAATTCATAGATCGAGTAGTGCGACCCTGAAGCACGTATTCACATTTACTTATTGCAATAGACATCGTAGATACATTTATATAAATTATTTCTTGTATTTTCTACCACACAGCCGTCGTGTACAAGGCAAACAACATATCACTACACGAAGTCACATCTAATAATTTAAATACGAATAGTCCGCTCACTTTTCGATGTAAACAATGCGATAACCACCAAATTAAATAAAAAGCACTTCACAGTGACAAAAGCACTTCAATCCAGTTGGGTAATTATTTATCACTTTTACACGACTGATTGTAAAGCTTTTTTTCTGATAGCGAAATGACAGATGGCGCGTCTACCCGCGTCGGTAGAGACGGCGTATGTAACTACAGTGTGACGGGCGGGCTGCGCAGGCGCAGGCGCGACAAAGATAAGGCTTTGGCGCCATGCGCGTGGGTGCGAGCGAGAGGCACCCGGAGGCTTATACGGGGGTCCGGTTACGTCTCTCGCTCGTTACTTAGCTAAAGCTTCATAGAGCTTAATACCAATTACTCTTTCAATCTACAATTCGCATAATTATCCACTTTTACCTCTATATCAATTTGATAAAATTATCTAATGAATTATATTTTTTGTACTTTTCTCTTTGCAAAAATTCACAGTTGTCGGTCAAATTAAATAAGATTGACAATACGGTTGTTTAATTTGAACAGCATAATGTAGTTCAGTTTAGGTTAGCTTTTTATATGTCCGTGACCTACTGCGGTCCTTTCTATTATTAAAGTTAGTCCTAAGCATTATTCTAAACTCTCATTTTTTTTCAAATTTTAAGCCTGAGATAACATATAGTTATAAAGTGTTACATAGTATTGGATATCCTGTTATGCAACGAGAGCAGTGATCTGCAAGTAATTAAGGCGCAAGCGAGGCACAAACTAATGAGATATAGCTGGACTTCCAGACGGTCGTAACGGTCGCTGGATTCTGACCACTATGATCTTAGTTATCGTATAATTTGAAAGGACTAAATTGTTATATCAGATTGTGTACAAAGTTATGTTTTGACTTTGTAAGTCGAGCCAGCGACTGGATATTTACGATTCCGTCGTTTTCGATATCTTCAAATATAAAAATTACATTTTTAAAATTATCAAAAAGATAGTTTTTTAAACGATTACATAGAACTTTTAGACAGTAAAATAATAATTTAATGTCGTTTAGAGCTTAAACTGAAATAAATATTGCATTTCTTTATATTCTTATAAAATTTTGCTGTCTCGTATTTGTGCGTCTAATATTATTTTTATGCAATAATCAGGTAACAGGTTTTCTAAATTAATATTTACTTAAAAGTCTTATGATGGTATCTTATAAAACTCATTTATCAACACAACATCAAGGGGTCACCGGATGGTTATTTGTACCGGTTTTTATCAAGCGAAGTAAACGTCAACAATAATATAAATCTGTTCGAAAGTATGATTACATAGGTGTTTTAAGAAAAAAATATGATACAACCCTATCTTCAATCACAGTCATGATGGCTACCGTTAACCAATGAGTGAAAGATAATTGTCGGGTAAATGGAAAGCTTAAATGATGTGTTTAAGACAGAAACCGTTTTAAAGTTATATTATCTGTTACACGCAAAATTATGTAGAATTAAATAATGTATAAGAAGAAAGAGTAATTGACTACTGCATCTCATGTTACCAGAAGGCATACTCTGTTTCTCCGAAAACGAAAGTTCATCTATTTTCGAAACTCTAATAAGACTCTAAAGGAACGCATTTTCCGATAATTAATTCTGAAACGGAGGTAGGACCCTGACACTGCTTCTGATGCACAGATAATATTGACGGATGTGATTTAAAAAAAAAACTAGAAAGATTCGAAATTTTTATAAATTTCGTTCGTAGACAAACAAAGTAGCCCGCCCCTCAGATAATAGTTAAAATATATATGACTAACCAATACGACTGTAAATTGAAGATACAAATTAATGTTTTCAAAACTCTAAAAGAAATCGTTATAGATTATAATTCAATTCTAATTTGTAAGAACCAAACCGTCTTTTGTGTTTCTTTCCTATTTAATAATATGCTTAAATTTTAGTATCATTAATGCTTAATAAATATATTATGGTGACATAAAATTCAGGCAATCGTACGTATATTTGACCTAATCTATGATTTTCATACTTGATTAATATACTTTTAAAGAAAATTGAATTTGAGAATTTGACTACACAAATCGACATATTTCTTGTTAATGTATTATGTACGTATGACAGGTAAACTGGCTATAATAATGCCCTTCACATCTATTAAGTTAAAAAAGATTTATTCACACGTAATCACATTTGATTTCTTATACTATATAATATGGCGATTCAACAAGACGCTCGTTAGATTGATGCGAATCAACAATCGTATCGTATTGAAATGTCAGCTGCACACAAAATATTTATACTCTCAACTATTTTCAACTTACTTTTGAGGATGCTACGGCTTAAAATCAGTTGGATATGTTTTACACTTTTGGACAATCCCATGTGCTGTTAATTGTAGTTAGTTGTATGTTAGGATCTCGCAACGCTGCAATTGGTACACAGTCGCTATAAACTTTACGTTTATAACGAAAGAACCTTCACTTCTGTCGTAAAGCATAATCTTTTCAATTAGAGAGGAATAGAGTAATCGTGCAACAGCCAATAACATAAATAATAAGTATTCACTTTTCATTTTTTCCTATTATGACAATAATAGAACATAGATAACAAATACATACGATCATTTTCAGAACTGTATTATAAAACAGGGAATGTTATCTTTATATATAAAACGCAAACCTATCTGACATGACGCAGCCGGAACTTGGTACAGGGATATATGAACTTGAAATTTAGCACAGATGTAAATGAGCGTTAAAAAAGTGTTTTAGAAATTTAACCACTAACGGGTGAAGTTTATATGGACCATGCGGATGAAGCCACTGGCGGAAAACTAGCAAGTTCTATTAACGATATGCTTCCAAGAAGCTCGCTATTTAATTTGATTTGATTACATCCATAGGGATCGCCTGTGCCACATTAAAAGGCACATGATGATATTCGTATTCTTACTTTATGGGACTTAATTCAATAAATTGAAGTAGTCGGAGAATCATTCAGTGTTATAAAGCACTAACTATTTAAATTATAGCTAACTGTTTAGCTCGCGTGTGATGCAGCTTTCCGTGTATGAAAGAATTTTCATGATAAAACTAGTATTTCCGAAGATTACCTCCTACAAACAAACATACAAAGTTAAAACTTTGCCTCTTTATAATATTTGTATAGAAAATGATAATTAGTAAAAATGCATTAAAAATTTCTATGATTAAAATGACAAGAGTTATTTTATAATAGTATATTTATGTTCTCAGTGCTCAGAAAATTCAAAAACTACACGTGACCTTATTACATTCTACCTGTAAAATATAACCTTCGTGTGTAAAACCAATAAATTATCTAGAAATCTTTTGGAATGTACTGCATGTTATATAAAGAACCCACAGAACGGTGTAAACGAATATAGCCTTTGAAAAAAAGTGACACTAGCCACTTACGTTGCGTCTAGGTTCACACGGAAATAAACATTGAGTTAAACGATCTGTACAGGTACCGTTTGTATCTATTAATAATAACTTAACTATGATGATGAGCTAAATGAGTCTTCACTTAGAAAAAGTTATGGCTGCGGGGTACCTCATCAAAAGTTTTTTTATAAATATTGGCTATTAAAGTGACTTATTAACATGTATTTATTATGTTTTTTGACTGATAATTATACTTTATATTTTTTAGTTGAATTTAGTTAATAATGATGCAATTAAATACAGATAATCTGTCAGTCAGCTTTTAAATGATGTTTTTAAATCAACTGTATTTTTTTGGCTGTAGAATGAAAAACAAAAATTCATTTTTATATTCTCGAAACAGATACACAACACTGTATAAATTGACTAATGGGAATAGAAGTGAGAAAATATTCTGGAAAGTGGTAAATATAAGTCAGAGATTATTTTTATTTAATTTCACTTTTTTATTTTTATTTTTAATAACAAAACGTGGTCGATATCGATTTCGTATGACACAAAATGACACTAATTGCCAATCCATTTCAATGTCATTTCGAGACATCGCTCACCATACATTAAACGTGGTTATTTCATGTGTATGCCGTGTGCCACTTACTGGTACATGGTGATTAACACCAAAGCTTGGGTGCGGTCAAAGAGTTTACCATTTATTTCCCATTGAAATAAAGCTCATATTTGCATAATTTTTTATCATCATCGTACACTTGACACCACTTCGCCAACCTGTTCTAGTGTCCAAACACCTACCAAACCTGAATGTTCGCAAAGTTGGTAATTAATACATGTATAGTGACAGGTTGATAGATTGTATTAACTAACCTTCATTTTATATTATTTCCTATTATCATTGTCTCATTATTATAAGAACCCGTTTAATTATTAAATTAAATAATAAAAGAAGTATTCAGAGACATTTTAGTCGATTGATTTCCTAATCTCATAATACGGCTTTGCGAATGATAAAATGAAATAATGAATAATATCCCTTAAAATCTCATCCAAAATAATACTTTATAGAAAGTTTAATATATTTTGAAATAAGCCAAGGGAATCTGTAAACCGATCGCGGATCTCCTGGCCTCGTTAATAATTAACGAATTTTGCACTATTTATATTTGGATAATTTAAAAAGTAATTTCAATATTCCATATTGGTCATTAAACTCTTGGTTTCCCATAATTTATTTTCTATTGTTGCAGTTTTTAGGTACCTTCTTAATATCACCATTGACCCAAGAACAAAACAAATATTTAGCTCGAGGTAAACCAGCAATCCGAGACCAATCAGAGTAATTACCCAAGCACCTAAGTATTATTATGCTTATCCTACCGATGGGTGCACTATGCAGATAACTGTGCTATAAGTCATTGCAAATCTCAGACTTGCTGTATTACAATAAAGATGATAATATGTTGCATGATGAACTTTCTTGGCTTATGTACAGACGGAATTCTTTGTGTTATGCAGCAGCCCGTTCGCTTAGGTTGAAGGTTGGAGATAACTCTGGCGCAACTACATTCATTGTTTCTAACCACTACCGATCGCTTTTTAGTGTTTTGTAATTACAAATATTTGCTCAACAATTTTAATAAACCTTAGTTATGCAACCAGAGATTTTTCTGAAGGGGATTACGTTTCAAGGGTATCTTTTTTCACTTTGAAAAAGTGGCCTGATTATGATAGTCGAGATATAAATCATAATATTGATCGGGAGCAGAACAAAATAAAGTTAAAATTGACAA